GGATGTCTTTAAATCTTAATAACATGACATGAACTAATTTCATACTGGGCAAAGACAACCTGTAACACAGTAACCATAGCAGCCTCACATAAGACATGTAAAAACCTGGAATATCCAAAACCTTCTTGAAGGTTTCTATACAACTACAATGGGGGTATAAAATCATTCTGGGCACATTTATATATTTAGGTAAAGTATTGGTGAATTAGAAATGTTCCCCAATACCACTTTCAACATCAATTTAAGGGGACACTTTCCACTGGCCACAGGCTGAGAGTACAAACAGCCAGTAAAAACCAATTATGCACCTGGTTAGTTCACAAGGAATGAAACACGCCACATAAGAGGTAGGAAAGCAGTTTTTTCCCCTGTCATTTACATATTGCAGACGTGTATATAAGTAGTTCAATGTTTTGTATCTTCTACATTCGTCCAGAGCTGTATGCCCTATCATATTTCAGCTGGGCGTGGTGCGGTCACAGTGGCTGGAATAGCTAACAGTGAGGCTAGGGTGAGATAAGTGCTGTATACATGCATATAGACAGACCTAGATAAGAAAGTATATAGATCTAGATGATACTGCATATATATATATAGATAATGAAGTATCTAGACAGATCTAGATAATGAAGTATGTAGATAGGCCTAGATAATAAAGTACATAGATAGACCAAGATGATACAGAATATAGATAGACTAAGATTATAAAGGATTTAGAAAGACCTAGATAATGAACCAAATAGATAATACACCATATAGATATACCTAGATAGTAAGGATATAGATAGACCTAGATAATGAACCATATAGATAATGCACCATATAGACAGACCTAGATAGTAAGGATATAGATAGACCTAGATAATCCAGTATGTAGATAGACCTAGATAAAAATTATATAGATAGACGTAGATGATGAAGTATGTAGATAGACGAAGATAATAAAGTATATAGATAGACCTAGATAATACAGTGCATAGACAGACTTAAATTAGAAAGGATATGGATAGACCTAGATAATGCAAAAACACCTAGATGATAAAGTATATAGATAGACCTAGATAATACAGTGCATAGATAGACTTAAATTAGAAAGGATATGGATAGACCTAGATAATGCAAAAACACCTAGATGATAAAGTATATAGATAGACCTAGATAATACAGTGCATAGATAGACTTAAATTAGAAAGGATATGGATAGACCTAGATAATGCAAAAACACCTAGATGATAAAGTATATAGATAGACCTAGATAATACAGTGCATAGATAGACTTAAATTAGAAAGGATATGGATAGACCTAGATAATGCAAAAACACCTAGATGATAAAGTATATAGATAGACCTAGATAATACAGTGCATAGATAGACTTAAATTAGAAAGGATATGGATAGACCTAGATAATGCAAAAACACCTAGATGATAAAGTATATAGATAGACCTAGATAATACAGTGCATAGATAGACTTAAATTAGAAAGGATATGGATAGACCTAGATAATGCAAAAACACCTAGATGATAAAGTATATAGATAGACCTAGATAATACAGTGCATAGATAGACTTAAATTAGAAAGGATATGGATAGACCTAGATAATGCAAAAACACCTAGATGATAAAGTATATAGATAGACCTAGATAATACAGTGCATAGATAGACTTAAATTAGAAAGGATATGGATAGACCTAGATAATGCAAAAACACCTAGATGATAAAGTATATAGATAGACCTAGATAATACAGTGCATAGATAGACTTAAATTAGAAAGGATATGGATAGACCTAGATAATGCAAAAACACCTAGATGATAAAGTATATAGATAGACCTAGATAATACAGTGCATAGATAGACTTAAATTAGAAAGGATATGGATAGACTTAGATAATGCAAAAACACCTAGATGATAAAGTATATAGATAGACCTAGATAATACAGTACATAAATTGACCTAGATAATACAGCACATAGATAGACCTAGATAATACAGCACATAGATAGAAATTGATAATACAGCACATAGATAGACCTACATAAAACAGTATATAGATAGACCTACATAATGCAGTATATATATAGATAGACCTAGATAATACAGTACATAAATTGACCTACGTAATACAACACATAGATAGACCTTGTTTTATAGTTCACGCGACAGAAATAATGACTGTCCCAAAATCTTAGGCTAATGTTCATCCCCAAGGAATAATGACTGCCCCCAATCTTGGCCCGGTGTTCATACTACAGAAATAATGGCTGCCCCCTCCCAATCCTGGCCTGGTGTTTATACTACAGAAATAATGACTACCCCCTCCCAATCTTTCCTGATCCTGTCAGAGCCAATATTATACTTGTGATTTGTAAGAATATACAAAATATTTCCATTAAACCACACATAGAACCACAAAGAGAAAAAACTGCACTATTATTTTTCTTCTGCTGTTGATTAGGGGGTTAGATGACCGGCAAGACCCAGTACTTATCATGCCTTTTGTACGAAGGTGTATCTATGGATACATTGGCCAGATGGATGACGCGGAAATGGAAGAGTTTTCTGATAATTTTGAAGGAAGAGAGTGTGAGTAGTATGGACAAAATTAAGGACAAGACGATGTTGTTTTAATGTCTTAAAATGTCTTGTAGGAGTCGTGTATTGATGATTAAAAAAAGACGTTATATCTGTTCCCAATGAAATCAATTCCCTGCTCAATGCATTATGCCGTGGAACTGCCAGGATTGGAACCGGCCACGTGGCTTTAACTAGTTGTCGAATCACGGTGCAGGTGGTGCCAGTAGGGGATTTTGAGGCGCTAAACTCTAGTACATTGGACACATAGAGTCAGGCATGTGTGCAGGCCTATTGTAAAGCTGGCGCCAAATATTCTTTAAAGATGCATGTCTTAACATGAAATTGAAAATAAGTAATGAGACTATTCTACCAATTTATTATAGAATTTGTTTTTATAATCTATATTATCATATATTTATTATAATTAACCATTTTATAACATTTTCTTGTTTAAAAACTTGCAGCTCCAAGACTAAAACGGTTCCACCAAAGCTGGAGTTACTACAGTACTAACCGCTTTGTAAAGAATACGTTCATGTTCATATTAGGCGGAGAAATAGTTGAAGGTAGATATGGTGTTTGAGTGTACATTGTTGGTAACATCCGTCTGTATGTACTTCGAGTGCAATGGCAACCGACGGTTCATTCAAATTAAAACTAGTGGAGTGCTGTGAAAAGGGACTTTCGTTCTGCATTGCCTATATTGAGCCAGCCAGAGAGACATTGGAACAGGAGAGCTGGATGCAGGGTGCAGGAACCCTATGGTCCTCACTTTGTATTCACTCTACTTGGGGTTAAGACCTAAGCAGAAATCTGGCGTGGTTTGGTCTATATCATGGACCGTGTGAACACCGGCCAAGAGATAACACCCAAGATCACCAAACATCTTGTTCAAACAGTGAAATGACAACTGTGCAAGACGCAACCAACTTCAAACATCGACCTCCTTCTTAATCAGTTGACTGCGTTCAATCTTAATCCTGATAAAACCGCCTAACCGACGAGTGAATAGGAACGTTTGGCAGAGGGAGACCAGAGGAGGTAAGTTTCTACATTGGTTACGTCACAGACAGTATATTGGGTGTGCAGCTTTGCAGTCTTTGTTACGTGTGCATTGTGAAGCTACATGTGCCTGCACACAATATATGTAGGCTTCTGTCACAATTAGAACCAAAGATCTGGCATATGCTGAACTGCCTGATTGTTCCTAAGGAAAAAAACGATGGGTTCTGTCCAATGCCATTCATTTTTCGAGACTATGAAAATTTACAGGTCGCAAACTTTAAGTTGAGAGATCTATATTTCGATTAGTAATGATCTACCAGTTTATACCATGCTGAAACACTTTCAGGTACAACTTCAATAACAAGTATTCGCCATGTAGAATATTTAAAGAGATTGTCGCAGCCTTGATTACATTTACCACGGGCACGGCACGATTAGATAGTAGACGATTTTCGGTACGGTTTTTTTTTCATTGCAAGTGGCTACGTGCTACAGCGAGTACGTTTGCATTACGTGCGGGTACAGTGTCATGTCTCCCAGCTGACGGCGAGGTCAAGTAGGTTACAATCGGTTTTCGGTTGAAAAGTAACAGTCTCAGCGCAGTTGCCGGTCACCTTTCTTGCGGCTTCCTCAAAGATAGATGCGTTGTTGGTGCAGCCCCCTACGATTATTTTCACCCATTTATTCATATTAAGGAAACTCACGATTTAAAATATATGCAAGTGAATAACGCTTAGTTTGAAACATCTTTACTATTGGTATGCCTCTTACAACCAAAAAAGGAAGGGAAAGAGACCAACCACGGGTTGAACTAACTATCACGATTATAGCAAGCCCATCGAACAAAGAGCGTGCGGGAACTGTGAAATGCCATCTCTGATAATGCTACTTCCTACGGGCTTACGATCTCAAAAAAATTGTCAAAACGTTCAGCTTGATAAAATCGTTCGGGCTACGGAGGCTATGAATCCGTACGAACTCGCATGATTTCTCACGGCCGCCTAGTGCCTCCGGGATTTAAGGGCAGTATACGAGCAGCGGGCGGACATCGTATGGCAAATGTAATCTTGGCTTTACACAGTGGTTTAATGGAGGGCAGTGATATGACCTGTTGTGCTCTACGTGTATAAAGCTCTCCCCTGTATTGCCCGGTCCTATCACAGAGCCTGTGCTACATGTATGTTGATACTGCGACATCCTTCAACCTGGCCCTGTGCCATGTATAATGTAGAAGGCATCGTTATTTCTATTGTACTTTGTCTTATATATGTATACATTAAAAATGAACATCTTTTTAATGTTTTGGGATACGAATTTTATATGTGTTATTTTCTTTTAAGACGCTTTTAAAACCAGTTCATATGCCCGTAAAATGAGTTCTATAAGATAAACCGTACATCTTGTTTGATTTCAGCCAAGATGACAGTTGTACTGAGGAACACACTCGGTGTCGTAGATTACATTGTGATCGTTGTAATTCTCCTGATCTCGATCGCCATTGGGATTTATTTTTCCTTGACTGGGGGTCACCAGCGCACGACCAAGGAGTATCTTCTAGCCGACAAGAAGATGAATCTGCTCCCCGTCACGCTGTCTTTGATCGTCTCGTATTACTCCGCCATCTCTATCCTCGGCTATCCCGCCGAGGTCTTTCTTTACGGTTCTCAGCTGGCCTTGTTTAATATTTCGTCCATAGTGTCCTTCGTGATAGTGGCAGTGTTCTTTATCCCCTTCATCCGGGGCCTGAGGCTGGTGAGCGCCTTCCAGGTGGGTGGTGACGACCTACACAGAATTGGTTGATAAATAATAACAGGAATAATCAATACATATACCAATTTATATTTTTATTTAATCTATCTATCATTTGATCTATATATTTACTATCAATTTTGAATAAACTCTGTCCCCTCCCCGATTTACTGTGGGCCCGATCTACTGTGGTGATAAGATGAAGTAAATGGAATTATAAAATTGCTCGAATTGCTAGTTAGTTTGAAAAGCAATATGTGCACAGTTAGTTTATGATATAATCCAGTCTTCGGCATGTATTGGACTTTTTATGTATCAACAACAACAACAACTGTGCCCAGGACAAAGGTGCCAGTGTCGCTGTCCCAACAATAATTTATCAATTCTGTTCAATTCCTTGCAGTATGTGAAGCGGCGCTATAAATCTAGAGCTGTGCAGAAGTTATCTTCAGGTCTTGGAATACTGGTGACGGTAGGTACAGAAGTTATCTTCAGGTCTTGGAATACTGGTGACCATAGGTGCAGAGTTTTCTTTAGGTCTTCAGATACTGGTGACGGTAGGTGCAGAAGTTATCTTCCGGTCTTGGGATACTGGTGACGGTAGGTGCAGAATTTTCTTTGGGTCTTCAGATACTGGTGACGGTAGGTGCAGAAGTTATCGTTGTCTTGGGATACAGGTGACGGTAGTTGCAGAATTTATCGTTGTCTTGGGATACTGGTGACGGTAGGTACAGAAGTTATCGTTGTCTTGGGACACTGGTGACGGTAGGTGCAGAAGTTATCATAAGGTCTTAGGATACTGGTGCCGGTAGGTGCAGAAGTTATCATAAGGTCTTAGGATACTGGTGCCGGTAGGTGCAGAAGTTATCATAAGGTCTTAGGATACTGGTGACGGTAGGTGCAGAAGTTATCATAAGGTCTTAGGATACTGGTGACAGTAGGTGCAGACGTTATCATGGCCGGTGATGGAAGGGGTAGGAGTTTGAAGGACGCGGCTCAGTTTCAGCACGTCACCTGTCAAAGTGGTCACATTCTAAGATTCGAAACGCATGCTCATCAATATTATTGCACCCTTTTTAATGTAAAAAATTCACGGAGTGCAAGGGGAAGCGCGATGTTGGATTGAGAATAATTTGAGCACCTTTTTGGACAGCTTAGATCTCCCAATTAAAATCTCGGAATCTCTTCTCTTTTCCAGGTCTTCTATCTGGGCACTGCTACATATGCCCCTGCATTGGCAATAGAGGCAGGTAAGGACATTAAGCTCAAAGATTGGCACCAGGGCTCCGTATCTCGAAAGGTTCGCTATGTTGCGCACGAGCGTCAGTGTCTCGATTCCATAACCGATTCTATTTCGAGATACGGGGCCATGGAATCGAGACACTAACGCACGTGCGCAACATAGCGAACCTTTCGAGATACGGAGCCCTGGTCAATATCAGCGGGCTAGTTTTATATGAGCGTCATAACGTTACCGTCACTTTTTTAGTGTCTGGTATTACATTTTAAAAACCAATTTCTTCCGAGGAGACTGGGACACTCTTGTGGTATTCTGAGAGACTGGTTAATGAGAACAGGGTTTTCAAATCATGTATATAGTAGACTTTCGCATGAATCAAGGGTGGTGTATTATAATTTTTGGTATTTAAGCTAGGTTTTTTCAATATTTTCATGCCTAAGTGAAAAATCAGTTTAACTTAAGAATTCCGATAATGATTAACTATCCATTGGAAAGGTTAATTTCAAACAATGAATGTTTTTCATGCATATTTTTGCACAGATTGTAAGATTGTTTACAAGGCAAAAAAAATTTAAAATCCATACAATAAAATATCCAAAAGCAACATTCATCTCAAACCGCCCTATTTCCCCTACATTTCTATGAGGTCCGCATTTTAATTTCGTTCTAATTAGCTGTTCGTTGCGCCACATAGTCAAATCAAAACATCAAATAAATGTTTATTCAGTTTCATAGAAACTTAAGTAAAAATTTGAAATAGCCACATTTTTCTTTCAGTGACTGGTGTCCCGTTGTGGGCTAGCATCGTAGTCATCATGGCCGTGTCTACTTTATATACCTCTCTGGTAAATATCAGCACTGTTATTTGATGGTACATGTAGTCTCCATGGTCGTGTAAACTTCTGTAACTTTTTATTTATATCATACTTTTAGGGATTATTTCTGTAGTATGTATCGCCGGGACGTTAGGTAAACCTGAGACCGGACTGTACATGCATATATTTTGCCATGAAAATAGTCGAAATTAAATCGTAGTAAATAAAGCTTATAAACTTTAGTATGCACTCATTTAAAGGTGTCTTTAGTAGCAGAATCAGTGAACACAGACGATGTTATTTAACCTTAGTTTATCGTTTATAACGAGGCTTTTTAGGGCACATAAAGAGCATGAATAGGCGGAAACTCATTTTCTCTAAATGGCGGTTTACTTCCAGGGCGGAATGAAGGCAGTGCTGTGGACGGACGCTCTTCAGTTCTTTATCATGATTGCAGGAATCCTGGTCGTGCTCATAAAGGTTTGGACACGAAGTAAAATTTCCTTCACTTCTTGAACTAAAGTACTTTTGTCCATGTCTTTAACAGTAAGTTTCATCAATGCTCCTCTTGTTCAACGCGGTTTCCCTTCACGAGGAAGTACATTTTCTATATAAAATTGCTATTTTATTTATCAGTGTTTAAACTTATTCACTGGACGCTTTTCTGTTTTAAAGCAAATTAACTCAGCATGTTAAGGCTCTGCTGCATCTAGCGTACGTAGAGAGGTATCCGTGAGAAATATGACATCGGTCATACGCAGAATTGAGGTTATGAAATCACCTTGTTTCCTGCTGAGCGTATAAAAAAATAAATACATCAGCAGCGGATGAAACTGTTTTTAACCATGCTCAAAACAATCTATCCTTCTCCGGGAATGCGATCCTACACCAACGTTTGTCTGTGTATTTGATACGCAAACGACGTAAGTCTAACGAACCCCTTGCGTTTGTCTGCGTAGGGACAAGTTTTCTCATACGTTCGTGCTAACGCTAGATGTGACAGCGTGTTTACCTCCAATGGCTTTGGAAGAGTGGGGCGAGAATTTGGTGATGTAATTCTTGTCAGTTGTAAAATTTCCACCACCTCACTGTCCTGTGTTCCTGTAGGGTTGGGTGACGATAGGCGGGCCGACCATAATGTGGGAAACCAGTGTGGCAGGACAGAGGGCAAACTTCTTTGAGTAAGTTTTAACTCATGGCTGGCAATAGGCTATTTATTCCGTCCACTTACCAGTCCCGTCATATGTCAGCACTTGTGACGCTACAGTGGACCTAGGCTGGTAATCATATCGGCACACTGAGGCACCTGAAGGTCAGTCTAGACAACGGAACTGTCACATGGAAGTTGACTTGCGACACAAACCTCCACCACACTGACACATTTCAGATGTTTTACTTATGCCGCATCCGAAGCTATTTAACCTAGACTTTTATTTAATTGTTCTTAGAGTTAACCGTTTCCTTGTACGTGTTCAGCTCTATAGGTCATGTTGTGTGTTCTTTTCAGTTTTGATCCCTCTCCAACCACACGCCATACTTTCTGGGGTATCGTTGTCGGTGGCACGTGCTTGGGCGTCATCCACAACTGTTTCTCTCAGGCCAATGTCCAGAGAATATCGTCTGTCAAATCTGACCGGCAAGCTAGAATGTAAGTGAATTCTTTGTTTACTTTATGTTTGGTATATCTTAAGTGCACTATGTTCCACACCGTTGAACAGTAGTAAATGGAAGAATAAACATCAAACTTAAGCCATAGCATAGACTCTTATTACCACGACACATGGCAGTATATGACTTAACGACTGTATTTGCTCGTTTAATTTCTTCAGTGCCTTGTTGGCTAAAACTCCATTCTACTTGCTTCTAACCATCCCGCTGTTATTGATTTCCTTCACTGTCTACACCTACTACGTGCAACTGCGCTGCAATCCAGTGAAAGAGAAGATCATAACTAGTGCTAACCAGGTGAGAATATCAAGGGAAAGGACGCGATATACATAGTACATGTGTAAAAGCGTTTTAATGTGTTGTAATTAGTAGGGGCCTGTGATGTAGGACCTGACCGAATGCACTGGGTCCTTGCTGGGACTAACATACACCATTTTAATTCTATTCTATTTGACAGAAATAAAATCAGTTTTCAGAATTCTGACCTGAAACGAAACGTTAAGAAACGTATTTGTCTTCAGCTGAGAAGGCAGAATTGACATTGGACAAGATAACTCGTTTGATTTCTTTGTGAAAAAAAGCAAACACAATTTACAGAAAATGTGTTTTGTCAAACGTATATCATGTTCACAAGTAGAATCATTTTACAACGAATTTGTGTCCCATTTAAAAAAAAACCGGAGATAAAAGTAAATAAATAAAACGCTCTTGATTGTGACTGTGCATCTACCACCTCTAATGTGATATGTCTGTGTAAAGAAACGACAATGTTACAGAAAGTAAATATCTCACGTGGTTGGTGTTATTTTACTTTCAGCTCCTTCCCCATTTCGTGATGGAGGTGATGGCCGACCTCCCCGGCATACCAGGCCTCTTCGTGTCCTCTCTGCTGTCAGGCTCCCTCAGGTACGTGTGGACGTGCGTGCGTATGATTTGTGTTTGAGAGAGTTTTACTATTTTCGTTTTTTTTTTTTCAATATAACCAGTGGCGGATTTAGGAAAAAATATGGGACCAATATTCACCTCTTGATATTAAACTTGAAGAGCCGAAGCATAGTTCTAAACTGCACCAGATGGTACCCTTTGCCCTCCAAAACACCGAACTCCACACCAAGGGGGCAAGGGTCGGCTTCGCATCCGATGCCTGTCATTCTTTAAAAAAACTGGACCCCACCTTCAAACAATCCTGGATCCGCCACTGATAACTGCTGCCTTTTGCAAATATGAGTTAAAAAGTTTTTTCTTATCATGTTTAGATATCAACAGTCTAAATGCTTTGCTATATCCAAAGGTGTTTTCTTTTTGTATTTTTTCAGTTCGAACTCGTCTTCTTTAAATGGCATTGCTGCTTTGGCTTGGGAGGACTTTTTTAAAGACATTAATTTTCTTGCAAAGCGAGCAGAAAAGACTCGGGCGCTGATCAGTAAATTGACAGGTTCGTTCCCATTTCGTGGCCAGAAATATATTTAAGTATAGTGGTGCATCATTGTTTTAGATAATAAAATAAGCACCCATCCTGGTAAAGAAACACATCCAAGCACCTGTGCTGATAATAAAACACATGCATTTGGTTTAAATCAAGTGAAAGGTGGGCTAAACACGTATAGTCAAAACTCTGTGGAATGGTATTTGGCAACACAAACCCATTGCCACTATTTACAGATATTATTTTGATCGACGATGCTCGAAAAAACTGCAATTAAGATATTTAATTGTATTTATGTAGCAAATGGTTTGTTTTAGTGGTGGTATTTACTTTTTGGTAATACATCAACGTTTTGTTTATAGGAAATTAGTCTTAGTTTAGGTCTTGTGTCTGCACATTTTGACCTTAAGTACTTGACCAAGGCAAGGTGATAACAGATGTCCAGGGTTAAGGAATGTCTTAGCTGCTGTATTTCTAGGCACACACATTTATATTTTATGAAAGATGTTTTGGGGACTAATTCTATCGAGCTGCATCAGTGAGAAGTCATTCAGCTTTGTAGCTATTATTTACCCGCAGTTTTAGCAGCTACATTGTATTATTACTTACATTTCTTTATTGTTATTTGTACACCCTCCGCCCTACCCTACCACCTGCCTTCATCCTTGTGGTGTTTTTCACACTTAGACTTAATTACTTTAAAGCGGCACTTGTGCGACAGAATTAAGGAGGGCACCTAATTGGACAGTTCCACTTTGCCTCCCGAAGGCCTGCTAATCAGAGGCATATGAGTTCAGTTATTCAGGAGACAGTTAATGCTCTCCCTCACTTGTCTCGTAAAATTCACCACATTAAGTAGTGCATTATTCAGGAATGAAAATTTTAAGGTGAATTTTGGTAAAGTTATTCAACCCCCCCTAATAATTTTTTTCTCTTTTCATGACTTATGAAGCAGATTTGAGCATTGGCTAAATGTAACATGGTTGTATTTATGATAGTTAGCTATAACTCGTTTGGCACATTTATTAGTCATTTAAGATTATCTGGTTATCATTTGTTTATTGATATATATCATACATGTGAGATTATTACTTTAAAAGTATAGTTAGGTAAATGTACTATGGCAGTACTAAGGCCAAGAGAGACAACTCTATCATTGGGCTGTCAGAGCAATGAGGAAACCTACGTCCCCGTCCTAAAAAGGTAGGGGTTGCGTAGCTCTCTCTCAGCCTAGGCCGGCTTTAGAATGTGAAACTTCTTAAAAAATAATCACTGCCATTTGTGGCCCCTTTTTTCCCTTCATCTCCTTTTATTTTCATTTGTGCCAACTTTTTGCTCCTATAGCTGTTGTGATTTCTCATATTTTTCTTAATTAATCCTGGTTACACTCATTAACATACTTTATTCTTTTTATATTATGGTACTTATATAGTTTAGGAGATGTTTGATTATCTCCCCAGTTTTGTAACTTTGTATCCTATTAGTTTTCGTCATTAATAAATGACAATTTTCAGTTGGTCCAAATATACCCTTGTCTTCAAGGTTATCTCAGGAACACAGTACCAAATTCATAAACCAATATATAAGTATATAGTTATGGAAGAGGACAAAGGATGTTGAGTCAGTTTTCGCAGTCCTGAAGGTGATACAAGTATTCAGAGCACCGTCTCGTAAAATTATCTAAGATGTTGGTAATTAATTTCAGCATGACAAATTTTACCAAAGCAGCCAACTAAGTGCGTTTTGCGTGACAAAGAAGCCATTTTTCTCTAAAGACCTCAAGAGCTGAATAATGTCTTCCTTCACTTGGAAGATAAAATTCAATGAGAACAAGGGAAGGACACTATATGTACATGCCTTGGTATATGAACACAGCTTTTAGGCGTTTCCTCATTTTAGAGCTGTACTTTTGAAAATGAATCGACTTTCTTTTCTCAGTTGTGGTGGCTGGCTGCGTTGGGACTGCAATTGCCTTTCTTGCAGCCAAAATGGGAGGCCCGATCATGCAGGTGAGCTAAGATACCTCCAGGGTGGGGGCGGTGTCCGGAGCGTCGTGGACTATTACCCCCGAACGTGGTGCCAAACCCACGGAGTTCAGCACATCACTTTTTTTACACCCATATTTTGATTTCAATTTTTGATACACCTGTTCAAGAAACTATCTTCACTTCAAACTCCAATATATGATACATTAGCCAACGGTGAGACAAAGTTTGCCCAGCCCAACCATTTATGCTTTCTTTCTGTCGTGGATGTACACGACCTTGGCGAAACCAACGCCGCCCTGTAGAGAGAGGTACCAACCGCAGTGTTATTTCTCCGCTTAATTTGGCAGCAGCAAATGAAGAGCTATCAAGGATTTAAAGAAAACCTTTGGCGGTTTCTCAATATCAAGGATAAGTCCGGTATTTGGCAGAAAAAATGATTATATTGAAAAGAGAGTAAGATGTTTTTTCAATTTGATTTTTCAATATCTTTAACAATTTTAAAAAGGATTACTATTTCTTTGTTAGATTTCCCTTTCGCTCTTTGGTTCAGTGAATGGGCCACTCTCTGGAATTTTCCTGCTTGGAGCGCTGTTTCCGTGGGCAAATTGGATTGTAAGTAGGCCTACGTTTACATCCAAAGCAACAGAACAGATAGTAAAGTGGTTATAACTTTAAACATTGTAAATCTTAACAAGAGGAAAACAAAACCAAATCCAACACAAACGTAGATTAAAATTGTGAAAGAGAATTCTACATTACTATCATAATGAAGAGTACAGGAAGACATGTTGTTTCTTAATGAGAGACCAGTTATTTGGAACTTGATAATTGAGTTAGTAATGGAATAAAACAAGTGCAGAGACAGGACCAGCAATTATTTGTGAGTAGGAAATATTTTTCCTTTTTTATCGACAAAATTTGATTTAGACGGATATATCCCGTGTAGAGTACCTTTGAGTACTCCTATATGGCAATGTACCCGTGTATAATCACCCCTGCGTCATTTTCATGCTCAACATTTTTGTATTTTTGTTGTTTCTTATAGGGTGCATTTACTGGTGGTCTGTGTGGAATAGTAATGTGTGCCTGGACAATATGTGGCTCTATGGTCCACAAGGTCCACTCCTACAGTCCGCCTGTCCCAGCAGTCCCCTCTGGAGGCTGCTTCCCTGGTAATGCAAGTCGTCTGGGGTCCACGCTATATAACACTTCACTGCTGAGTTATATGTCAGAGACCGTGAACTCCACTGTGTATTACCTAGAAGATACCATGTCTTCGGTCACTCTGGATACAGCGACGAATTCTACAGTGGCCAGCCTTGTATCAAAAAGCGGACCCTTTTAGTAAGTTGAATGTTGTATACTTTTCTATACGCCGTCTCCTACGTCCACTTTTTGTTATTTCAGCATGGGGCTGGACAACCTGCACGCCATCTCTTCATCCACTACTCCTTGTTATTTCAGCATGGGTATGGACAACCTGTACACCGTCTCTTACATCCACTACTCCTTGTTATTTCAGCATGGGTATGGACAACCTGTACACCGTCTCTTACATCCACTGCTCCTTGTTATTTCAGCATGGGTATGGACAACATGTACGCCGTCTCTTACATCCACTACGCCTTGTTATTTCAGCATGGGGCTGGACAACCTGTACGCCGTCTCTTACATCCACTACTCCTTGTTATTTCAGCATAGGTATGGACAACCTGCACGCCATCTTTTAGATCCACTACTCTTTGTTATTTCAGCATGGGG